GAACATAACTTGTCTGAACGATGCACTAGATCGATCAACAAGTGGTCTGCGTGAGAGCTCAGCGGTTGAAGCGGCTCTGATTTGACGTTTCGAAATCCCAGCTCTCCCAGCTATAAGTTGACGGTGATCCGCTACCGTTGGCAACAGGCCGCGAAAGCGATCGACGAAAAGAAGTCTGGCTAGAAACGGCCGTCGTAAATCTGAAATCGGCCCACCAGCCATGTTGACAAAGAGCGAAAGCTTCTCTTTTGTAACGGTGACTGCTGAAACGTTGCACATATGGATGCGATTGGCCACAGATGGAGTAAACCAACGAATAGCGGGCTTAGTCACGTGACGAACGGGATAACGTGCGCAACACCTGTGAGAATCAGCCTCCTTCTTTCTTCAAGAAAAGGTAAAAGATTATAAAGAACCAATCCTGCATAGCAGATGTACACGTGGGACCGGGTGGTAAACAGTTAAGGAGGTTGAACAATCTTAATTGCCTCGACACCATTCAATCAGAGTTAAATACGAAGACTGCTCTACCTCCTGGCCTTTTGCTGACTTGTTCCTATTTGAACTGGAAACGGAGTTTCACCAAAATTCGCTTGCACCATATATACCATATTCGCTTGCACAAGTCGTAGCAATTGCAAGGCATTGCGACATCTGTTTTAACGAGTGACCAAGAACGGGAGATGAACCGCCCACGAGTGCGTTTTCTTCGACGCAAAATGAAAATTAAATAGCAGAACCGTGTAAGTAGTGAATTTATTCTCTTGCTATTCAGTAAATGCTGGGATTAAAAAAAGAAAATTGACCCTGTCAGACAAATTGGTTGAAGCACTAACCATTTACTGCAACCGATGAATTCTTCGTATGGGGACTGAAATACGTCAGACATCGACCAGGAGACCAGCGCACAATATTGAGGAACAACAAGGTAGGAGGCAGACCTATTTTTAGAAAGGAACTGTTCCTTCTACGTTGAAAAACTGCCAATACATCACCCATCGCAAACCATCTACCTTATGCTGAGATGAAAGGCCAAGCAAAGGTGATGGTCTGAAACGCACACGGCCGCAGTGATTTCGACAGGATGACGATGATTTGTTGACTTGAAAAGCCAATGCGAATTCAAGCATGTCGACTACCACGGTAACACAAATGACAGGGGGACTGTCAAATTTTACGGTCAGTGTGCAAATTTCAATCTGTGAAATGGTCGCATCACTGTGTCCTACAAGCAGACTGAATATGGCCACAATGACATGTTAAACAAGCTTGAAATGCAATATTACAGTAGATTAGAAAACGAGGGCAGCTTATCCTTCACCGGTACTCGGCCACTGTCCAACGTTGATCGGAAGGCGAATCTACATCAACAGGCTACTGCTTGATCTGCACTGCAGGCTGTATGACTGTGTCGCAGGTACACGATTGTTGATCTAGTCACTACTCTGTAATGACATGCGAGCATATTTTTTCTCTACCGAGTGATCATGATTGCTAGAGCATTCCTCACTTTAAATTTACAGCGCTGTTTATGACGTTGAAGCCAATAATGCCATCCATGTCTGAGTCAATGGTTGATTTAAGTAGTTGCGTCTTCCTGCTTCTCAGAAATTCACATTGCCGATCCATCGATTAAAGACCACGAATAGTGGATCATCAGCATAGGGTCTGACCGCTGCGCGTCAATGAGCTGTCCGGTAGTCGGTCCTTTCCAGGAAGACGACAATGGCACTCCATTGAGAATGGTCAGCGTCACGGGGAAACTGCAGACAAGGACTTCTGTTGTACTTTCGGAGGTACTTCCGGCTGCACAACGACTTTCGTTAAATGGTGGGTAACGACCGATTGTTTCGGTGATAGAGAGTAGTCCAACGGGTTCTGTGACGGCATTGGAAGGTAATCTCTAACTCATCGTACAGTCGCTCTGGAGATCGAGAATTCTACTATAGCGTCCGAATTTCGGCTCCATTCAGCAGCATCGGCAGAATGGAAAATTGACAGATCTGTATTTCGTGTTCAGTGACGTGGCGCTTATGATCTGCGGGATGGAAACGACGGCGACCTTCAGGTCTGCGGCGGCTTATTAGCTTCACTGAGTGACTAATTGGATCGCCTTTGTTCATTCGCGGTGGACGTAGATGCGATGATGTGATCCGTCATGTGTTCCACTGTTTGCACCTCGCCACACTCACAAATTGGCGACATTTTGATCGCCCATTCATGCAAGAAGTATCTACACCGGTCGTGCCTTGCACTACATGTCGTGCAGTGCACTGTCGTCGGAGCAAACGGAAGTCTTGGATGCCGCCCCCCCTCCCACGTTTCGGCAACGATTCGATCGATCTACGGAGTGCCATGCTGGTCGTCGGCCACTGGAAAAGAACCGTGGCTGCTGAACGTTCCTCATGGTTTCGGATGAATAGAAGGCGCCAGTCTGATTTCCTCAGAGGTTGACAGGTTCGGATCGATGGGGCTCTTTTCGTATTCACGGACGTAACAGCGTCCCGTCTAATACTAATTGGCGATGTTCGCCGGCACTCTCAGCCAGAATGACGTCGACTGCTGCGCAACGCGGATGTAACAATGAAAGATGAGCTACTGCGTGCGACAAAAGTGGTGAAACGTTTTGACGTCATGGTGTCTTCAGACCTGAAACAGCTTGCTAACGCCTCAGTGGAGTTCAAGAAAGTTTGTCGCGTAAGATATTACCTCAAAGCAGATCGTAGTACAAAAATTCGTGGAAGTTTGTATACCACCGCTGATCACCTCTGTCGGACGGTAGTGTTTCTAACAGTGAGTAAAGTGGACTTGCTTCTCCTACTCCATGATGCCAATCAAAACGAACAAACGGATGAGCCAAATACGTTCACGTATATACTCGAACAAAACTGTACAGACAGAAGCCAGTTCCGTTTGCGTCACGTTGCTTAGTAGATCGTTTTCAAGTTTAAAATGAACTGTTAAATCGCTTTTGCTGAGAGATTTATGCATTTATAATAAAGTTACAATCAATAAATATGATAATAATGATTATGAGTAACGATGTTGTTTCAGTGATCGCGCTGTCCATGCAAAGTGCGGCATTTGTTCCGGTAT